TTATGGAAATGCTAGTGTTACAATAATGTCTGCGAAGCAGCTAGGGGTGTAGAGATGTTTCCCGAAAACTTTGACGGGGACTCCGCAAAGGGAATGACGGAGTGTGTGATGTCACTAAGAAAGTGTGGAGAAAATGAGATGTGGCACATGGCATATAGTCTGAACAAGGCATTAAAAAAGGGAAAAGACGTAAAGGGCGCTAGGGGCATAATTTAATTCTTGATTAGAGTCGAGTTTGAGTTGGATGAGGGAAGGAGGAGGGTTTGCGCGGAGGAATGTGCATGAGAGGCATGGGGGTTGGTGCCGAGATTTATTTGAGTTATTCTTATTTTAGTATTATTTACACATTATTTAAATGAAAAAATATCGGTTCTATTCCTATTTGCAGGTTTTCAACTCTCGTTTTTTTACCTGCTTCAAAATTTTCACAGTAAAGGTGATATTGATACTGAGAGCGATGATGGTAGAGAGAGGTATGACTGTGATGAGGCAATGTTGCAGAGGGTGGTGAGTCTCTCGACATTCAGAAAATAGAGTTTGAGATTGGAATTAGAGTAAGTCGTCAATATCATTTTACATGTGAGGCATTCGCTGTAATTTTAGTTAGTCAGCGTCGCCGGGCAATTGAACCTTGAGACATTAATTGCTCCAACTGACATCCGCTCGCATCATGACCCGTTCTGCAGATAGTGAGATTGAGGGGGGGGAGGGTCGGTGGTTATTTTGGTGGTGGTGAAGGTGGTGAAGTGAAAAGTGGTGGTGAAGGACCTATTGAGTGAATTTTGGAACTTTTAAAAAATGATTTATGGGACTTTTGTGATGTCTGGTGGGAGAGTGAGTGTTGTATACTGAAGTCTATTGCCTAAACATTCACGAATGTTAGCCCTGTAAATATTAGATAGGACGTTTTCTATTGTACATTAAGCTAAGCCTCGACTTCACCGACGATTAAGTCTATTGTGAACCTGCCTTGAATAAACTTGCTTTCTCTGCCCTGGTCTCTGCTTGTACCACCAGTGTCGTACGGGATTTAGTCCCAGCGTCGTAATTAAGAATATTTCAGCGAGTTTGTTGAAAACCTGTTCGTTTTGTGATTCGGTGTTGGTCTAGGCTATGTGCGCTTGTCGATGGTAGACTATTTATGCTGGGGATCTCGCATTATTTGTGCAGTGTCTGTGAGGATTTTTACGTGACTATTCAATAAATAAATATAAAAGCAAAGAAAACGCCAAGAAAATTCACCATATCGATATTGAAAACGTTTCGGAGTACAGCTCCATCATCAGTTCGACTAAACGAAAAATGAATAAAATCACTTTAAAAGTCAAAATTCAAAGACAGACATAAAACCTAAACAAGACCTAACATTATATCGAAATAAACAAGACTAGTTATGAACAACTTAGTCCTAGGGGTACGACAAGAATATAAAATCCTAGCGATTTACTATTTCCAGATTATATGCTCACAATTGCTCATATAATCTGGAAATAGTAAATCGCTAGGATTTTATATTCTTGTCGTACCCCTAGGACTAAGTTGTTCATAACTAGTCCTGTTTATTTCGATATAATGTTAGGTCTTGTTTAGGTTTTATGTCTGTCTTTGAATTTTGACTTTTAAAGTGATTTTATTCATTTTTCGTTTAGTCGAACTGATGATGGAGCTGTACTCCGAAACGTTTTCAATATCGATATGGTGAATTTTCTTGGCGTTTTCTTTGCTTTTAAATTCCTTGTGAACTTGCGATATAAGCAGACTAATGATATAAGTACTTATAAATAAATATGCAACAAAGCCTACAGGGCTACTGATATAACCTCTACGATCGTACAGCAACCCATTCCATCATGAAAAAAGAACAAAACTAACACCGAATGATTAATGATAATATTAATAAAGAAAAATTAAAGTGCAAAAATATAAACAGTGTGTGTTCCATTAGCCGAAGTCACCAATAGAACCCTTGTCTTGTCATAGCTTTGGAGTCCTTCAGTCCAGTTCTGATTATCGGAGCCTTTCTGCAAAAATGTGAATAAGACTTGGAGATAATCAATAATTTTAATGCTGAATATGACACAGGAGCACAATTGCAATAGGGAAGGAATTAGCTTAAATATTAATTTTCACGACCAATTATAAATAAAACTGATTTGACACGTTATTTGGAACAGAACTGATGAAACCACTTACCTTTGTTGTGAGAAAACGATTCACAATGAACGCCTAAGCGAGGTCACGTCAGAGGCAAATAAAACCAACGAGAAATTGTAGTGAATCGAATTCATAACTCGCACTATCATTTCTCGTGAACGTCGTAATTATTTTACCAAATCTCTAAGCTCGCTGAACACCATTTTCAAGCTTCATGTGACCTTGTTAGCTAGAATTCAACTATTTACTTCAATGTTGTATTCACATAGGCCCAAGAACGCTTCCTTGTGGCACGCCACTGCGCATTGATGCCCAGTCTGACACGGTTCCGTTAATACTGATTCATTGTCGTCTACCTACTAGAAAATCTGATCCATTGGAGTACGTTTCCCTCAATTCCCAAAGACTTCACTTTACGCAACAGCCGCTCTTGCGGAACACTGTCAAATGCTTTGGCAAACTCGAGGTACAATGCATCCACTAGATCCCTTTCATACAGCAGACGAGTCCAATCGTTCAACGTAGATAATAAGTTCGTGGTGCAGGGTCTGCCGGCAATAAAACCATGTTGACAATCTGATATGAGATGGTGAGCAGTCAAGTGATCGATAATCCTATCCCTCACAACAGATTCCATTAGGTTTCAAACAATTACCATGCATACAATTACAAGCTTACAACAGATTACAATGAGTTCCCTGATCTACCACGATCACTTCACTGGATTTATAACACGTGAGCTCAAACTTTGAGAATAGCACAACCAGCTCAAAACTCAAAAGCGACGTACATTCAGGCCCCGGCAATAAATTTAACGCTGAGCGACGCACGTCCTACAAGCATCAGTCCAGGAAGGAAGCCAAAAGCTTAACGTAACGAAATAAAGGCTTGACGTAGCGTAACGTACGTGACAGCGTAGCGTAACGCTACGCTACGCTTAACGTAACATAGCGTAGCGTAACGTTACGTAACACGCAACGTAGCATTGCGTAACGCTGCGTTACGCGTAGCGTAACATAACATAACGTAACATGACGTGACGTCACGAGACGACACGACACGACACAACACACCACTGCATAACACAACACAACACAATACATCACAGCACAACACTACGCACCACAATACAACACAACGCAACACAACACAGCACACCACTGCACAACACAGCACAGCACACCACACACAACACAGCTCAACAAAATACAGCAAAACACACCACAACACACCACAACACAACGCAACACACCACAACGCAGCACAGCACAGCACACCACACACAACACAGCTCAACAAAATACAACAAAACACACCACAACACACCACAACACAACGCAACACACCACAACACAGCACAGCACACCACACACAACACAGCTCAACAAAATACAGCAAAACACACCACAACACACCACAACACAACGCAACACACCACAGCACAACACAACGCAACACACCACAACACAGCACAACACGCGACACAACACACCAGAACACAACACAACACACCACAACACAACGCAACACAACACAAAAAAATGTAGTAGCGCACGCAGCTCGCTAGTCTTTTCTTAGCAAGGTATCCAGCTGGTGACTTGTACATTTGTAGTTATCCTCATTCACCTTCTTTGCGTTGGTCTGTGGACAGGGTTCCTACGGTGGTCGTACATGTTTTGTGCAATTTTAAACAGCCTAATTTGTGATTCTGGGATTTTTGCAGAGCAGCTACGAAGCTCTTGGTGAATCTAAGATTGAAATTTATTGTCAAATTAAAGGCATTTATGTCTTTTACAAGTAATAATTCCTCATTGACATAGTTTGTTGTAACATATTATTTGTAACATTCCGTTTGACTTAATAATTCAGGATTTGATTAATATTCAAAAGGTGTGATTTTATTGCAGAGTGTGTAAAATTACTTAAACATTAAACAACATTTAATTATTTTGCGGACATATATACCAGACGTCTTCATTTGTTCATGAAATTCAACCCCGATCCAAAAGATATGAATAAAATTTTGGACCCGAAGAAGTCGTCTTTCGACTAAGCATTGACTTCTACAGCAGCAAGTAACAATCTTTGTCCGCTAACGTAACTTAACAAAGAATTGTCAGCGCTGAAGAAAAATACCCATGATTCTTGTACTTTTCGTGACTTTACAGTAGATTTAAAAATTTGCGTTTCGACCAGATCTACTCAAAATTGACGTTGACTTTAAATAGCTAATGGACTTTTACCAGCAGGAAGGCTGTTACACGTATCGTTGACTCGAAGCGAGAGGCGTTGTGGCACGGATGAGCGAGTCTAATTCCATCCAAAATGATAAGGTACAGTGCATCACAGCGCATTTTAACCTTAGTGACAAATCGTGCCGACATGCAATTTGGCTTCATCGAGTTAAAAAACGTTGAAACTGTTTTCATCTGGAATTTGTGGGAATTGTTGTTGAATCACCAACCTACATCACGCACTATTTCGATTACTTATTTCTTTAATAATAATCAATGATTACATCTTAATACTTCACTTTCTATTGATTTGCAACCCCTGCGTTGCTTAAAGATGCTGTTGCTTGATCGTAATTCTATATCAATTTATTTCTATCCTAATTTTTAATTCATATTCACAAAATTTTCATTAGCCTTTTACTCTGCCGTAAACTGCATAAAAATTCTTCTCCACCTGCCAATTGAAGGTATTGCGTGGTCATAATAAGGCTACCATCATGTCACCACGCTCCATTTACAAATTTTGCAGAGAAAAATAGATAATAGCTCAAATTTGGAGTGCATGTAATTTATTCTTCTGCAGGACATAACTTTTACAGGTAAATTTAACAAGGAGACCCAAGTTTTTGGATTGATTGGGACCTTGATGGAATATATCGCACATTGGGGGTTAACAATAAGCAAACGATATTATAATTTTATTACCTGAACCGGTTTAATATATGTAAGTTTCATCATCTCGGCAGCTATTCTGAGTCGAATTAAACTTCAAAAATTTGTGCAACATTCACAGGCATAAGTTTTAATTTCTAATCCAATTCAAGGCATTACGCGTGGGCGAGGATCCAGTCGACGAAGTACGACACTTCGGTGTACACTCCGGGGTATTTAGGGTTCCCGCAAACCGATCCCCAAGAACCAATTCCACAGAGATAATCTCCGCACGTCATGGGAGTGCCACCGTCACCCTCGCAGGCGGCCTTGTCTTCTGCTCCAGCACAGATCATTGAGTCGATAATACGATCAAAACCATAGCTATCCCTGCAAGCGTCATCGCTGACGATAGGCAGGCTTACATACTGAAGGATATCAGGTTTCTCTTCCCCCCACCAGCTCAAAGTTCCCCATCCGGACACGATACCGTTTCCTGTGAAGATTTGACCCTGCGCAGGAAGTGTCACTCCGGACACATACTTGTCAAAGGTAAGAGGAACGCCAACTTTCAACAACGCGATATCGTTTTCCCAACCATAGTTGTAGTCGAAGTCTTCGTGCAGGATGATTAGAGTTACGTCTCTCGCCTGTTCGGTGCCGTCGTCGGTAGCAAGGTTGTAATCACCAGCAACGATCTGTAACCACTTTGAAAGGTTATATCATTCTGCGGAAAAAGGTCAATTGAATACTTAGATTGAATGTTATATGCCAGCAGAATGTCTCTGAATTCTTATACTTTTTCGAATCTTTGCATCAATCATGGTGGTAGTATTCGGGATTAATTTTATTTTATAAGTGCCAATATCAAGCGCTGTACTTTAAGAGCAGAAAATGACTCTCAGTTGTGGAAATTGTTCCGTACGATTGAAACAGCTTTTACTAAGTCCAGAATACTCGCTGTACTGACACTGGGGGCTGGAGCTGGTAGGGGAGTTACAAGCATCTTAAATTGCGACGCCGGACATTTCTTTATGTACTTAAAGTACACAAAGAAATTTCTTTATGTACTTCTTTATGTACCTAAATTTCTTTATGTACTTATAAATAATAATGTAAATGTTTTCAATGTTATCCAAATCTGGAACTTCATAACTACAGCTAGCATGATGGTTGATGGATTAAATGCTGACACACAGCGTGTGATGGTCACTCAGTGGTGCTGACACACAGCGTGTGATGACTGACCACTCAGTGGTGCTGACACACAGCGTGTGATGGTCACTCAGTGGTGCTGACACACAGCGTGTGATGGCCACTCACACGCTGTGGGGATGTGCCAAAACTGAGGATGTGCCTAACGGTTTCGTCGGAGGACATCACTATTTTTCACGGCACTAGTTACTATAAGCAACAAACTTGGAAACCAAGTGAGCATTTATAACGCACAAGAAACGAGTTGAGATCCCTTTGAATATTATAAATGAATAAGCTGACCGAACCGTACCATCCAGTGGGTTAAAACTTGTAAGAGACATGGATGGTCGAAATAACTAAATTCCAGGACCCGAACTTCGCTTCTGCGCAAAATACTAATCGGATAATTTGTGTATTTTATACAGTAAATGAATGCATCGCGCTCTGTTTCATCAGTGCATACGTTCTCCTTAAAATTTACTGAATTAAATCAATCATCTGCTCGTTTATCTGTTGAAATAATTACCTTTCACAAAAAAATAACGACTGATGTTCATTAAAATGATGTTTCGGCTCACTGGTGGATACTGAAGACTACTCGATCAGAACTGCTGAGCCTGGCTAGTCGGGGTCAATGTAAATTCATGACCCCCAGAAATGCTGCAGGTTGTTCGATAAAAGTTTCGAATCAACGAACGCTGGAACTGCCTTATACTAACCCTCAAATTTTGTGGATTGTAGTAGTTTTCTCCGTCTACACAGGTTCCTGCGGTGATCATGGTATCAGGAGTGTAGACGATAGCCCCGCAGAAGTGGATATTGTTACCAAATGTTGTGTCCTGGAGACTCAGCTGGTATGGGAACTGCCCAGGACGAGCATCTGTGCCGCCAACTATCCTGCTGTGGCCTCTCCTGAACCGCGGAATAGTTGATGGAGCCGCTGGAGAATTTAATATTTGTTGACTACAATTATGGACTGCTTATAAGGAAAATGTTCTCACATATTTTTAGCATGTTTTCGCGCTATAGTCATTCACGCATTACCGTTCTTCAATTTTCAGATAGGATATGCCGCATTCAATAGAACTCACTTATATTACAGCGAAGATTGCAAGAGAGTGTAAGAGTTCCTTCGTGAAAAGTTAACCTCTTTTTGATGAGATGATATCGACTTTTTAGGTTCGATTCCGAACAACTAATTCAAGTAAATTCCTCTTAACATAAATTTGAAATTTCTTACTTTCGCACTGCATGTCTCCATTATTTTTGCTATTGTTTTGCTAATCAATGAAGCGCTTAAATCATATTTTTTGGGGCTGGAGAATAGTGCGTTATGACAGAACATTTAATGATTTCAGTCAAAATCTGGTACCCCTCACATGTAAGGTGCGAATCTAAGAGGCAAAGGCAGGCATTTTTGAAGGGTCAAATAATGCTTTCTATTTACTCAATTCTTCACTCACCGAGGGCCGAGGCTACCAAGAGACACAGGATGAGCAGCTTCATGATGACCGTTCCCTGCACCGGACAAAACCTATAGCGCTGCGTGCAAGCGCTGCAGCATTTATCGGAGAGCTATGGGAATTTCAGCCACCTGTTAGGAGTGTTTTATCAAGGACGTTTTTCCTGAATTTTTTTGCTACATCATCTAGCAATATATTTTTCATGTCATTTCTCATCTGACCACGATGAGTATTCATATTTGTTATCGTCTCTTGTGTTATTCCTCATATATATGATTTTTGATCATAAATGTGAGTAATAATAGTAATATACATCATCAATGAGCGAGGAAAGTGATATACAGCATCAGTGAGTGAAGGGAGTGATACCCATCGTAACTTGCTGCATTTGCTTCATGGAATCAAGTATCTATACAAACGGTACGCAGAATAAAATATAATAATGTAATTTGAAAAAAATACCAAGTTAGAAGGAAATTAATAATAAAAATAAAAACAGCTCTCTCCTGATTCCGCTCACAAATTTATTCACATGGAGTTCGCAGTAAGAAAATTTTAACTCAGTCAAATAACGCAAATGAGCTCAAAATTTAGTTTTGCTTACAATTCCATTTCTATTTCGTAATGGTATGGAATGATTCCGCTCTACATAATTTAACTATGAAGAACGAATTAGATAAAAAATATTTTTTCACCGTGAATTTTGTCCTCTGATATTGAAAGTGAGAACCGTTAGAGTTGGTGTAAAGTCAGCTTCATTGAAAAAATACAAATACAAAAACCTTTATTCCTTCAAGGCCTGCTCTGCATTCTTCACAATCATAATCAGCTTTTTACATATCAATCAATATGTCTAATTATTTTTGGGTTCCCTGTAATTATTATCACATTGTCATTGATTCCCAACTTTATTGGGGTTAAGTCTAATTCCCAAGGCTACTCCTTCAGAGATTGGGAACTCCCTCCCTCGAAGATTTGATATCACTCTTTTTGCCAAACAATATCTCTCACATTCTTTATTTATATGGAAATTCATTGTACCCTGCATCGCCATAAAAAGTCATTTTACATGCATTTCCCTCAACTAATCACCCGTTACCTGCTCAACGTCCCATTAACACGTTAGGTTCCTCCAGCGGTGAACATTGTGCAAATTAGATCAGGTTGAATTACGAATTTTCATTACGAATTTGAATTACATCTGCTTATTTGCTATAATTCTCCATTGGCTATACAAATCTCCATAAATCAATTTAAACAAAGATCGAAAGTTTATAGTTGTTCACTTTTTTTCATCCTACCAAGTACATAATTTAAACATGGTCATGGACAGTTGAAGAAATACGTTTATTTTTCTGTAATTAACGCTGAATTGACATTTCACGCTACCAGCGTCGACGCGCTGTGGTAGCAACCAGGCACCAACACATAACGTCCACGTGACGGAACGCATTTCTTGTGTACGAACTTGATTGGTACGTGCGAGCAGGCCGAGGCCGCTGGCTGACGGGCAGGAGAGAACTTATTGTCCCACGTACTAATTTAGTCTATATGATTCATCAACATTTACTTGTAATTGTGTAGCCGAGGGACCGAACTTTTATACCTGCAATAACAGTGATTGTTTACTATCTAATTTTGTTCCTAAATGATGCTGTTACTCTATTTCATATATTTCACGGCCGAGGCTCGTTATCATAATCGATTTCCCAGAAGGGGTCCAGCTAGCTACAAAAATATTCATCCTCAATATCATGCTCTTATGTGCCACTTGTTATTGTCTTCATTTTATTTACTCCTTCATTCTGTTTATTTATATTTTCTACACATGGAAATCTATTTTAAATTTATATCATGGCAATCATATATGAATGAGATCACATTTTTCCCGCTTCAATTTAAAATATCTTACATGAATAAAGTTGCACTTACATTTCTTTTCGCCTCTCTATAGTTTCACTTATTGTATTGCTTGATACCTTATTTAAACTAGAATACACTTTAGCTACTTAGGTAATGATTTGTGTTTCGGACAAACATTTCCTATCAAACGACTTCCTTTTTTGTTCCGCAAAGAGCGCAAATTTCAAACATTATATAATGTTGTCAAAATTATCTCACCAATGATGAAATGTTTACCAAATTTCAAACAATAATGATGAAAGGTTTGATTATGGATATCTGTTCAAAAGAATTAACTCACTAGTTAGGGTTGACTTTGATAACTTGAAGTATAGAGTCAAAATCACAATTAGTTTACTAAATTTGATTCCTAAATTTCCTTTAGTGATAATGAAAAAAATCCAAGTGACATTTTACATGTGTTACCAAAGCAAATTCATTGTCAACTTCTGTCAGGTGTCTGTTTCTGCGACCACCTGATGGATTTGTACTGAGAGTCTAGGTACTATTGTTCCAAGTGTGACTAAGGCAGGACAAGTGAAACACGATTAACGCTAGAACTATTATAATAATAAACTGGCTCGGTGAGTACAGAAGGACGGGGATTGACAGGTACAGCACAAGTATGTGCCGGAGGAGCGGCTAGCAAGATGACGGCTAGGCAGTACCGCTGCGACTGACGAGCGGTGCACTGCTCTGGCTATATATAGTCCTTAACAGGGATGACGTCACTAGGCGTGACTCTATCATGTGGGTACAGAACATGTTATAAGAGAGTGACGTATGATAACCTAGATGGTGATAGAAGATCACCGGACATCTCCCCCCCATGGCTAGAGTTTTTGATCGACCTCGATCAGTTCCAATTGTAGGCCGAAGTTAAAAAAAATTAATTAGAGACGCCTTAGCGTAGCCATACGCAATAAGTGTGGAATTGAATTAATCCATGAGTAATGACTGTCTAATGATAAATAATTAATTCAAAGTATGCGTCACTTCATGACTACATGGTAGCATAATTAATGTTTGATCGATAAGGCAAACACAAGAGCTTAAAGTGAGACTTAATCTAAGAGAAGAACATCTTGGGTCTCCTGGACTTCGGCACAGGTGTTGCAAAGTCCTCTTGAGTCTTCGGTCTTGTGCTAATCTTCGCGAGAATAGAAAGTTCACGCTCGGGAAAAAACACAGGCATTAATATTGGTATATTAACTGAATAAATTTAAACAGAATAAACGCTCGACTATAAGTGGATCAGATCGATATTATTACGTTACGTTAAATTTTTGGCTTTGTTAGATGATAGCCATTAATATGATCATTTACGTTAAATGAACTTGTATTAATTAGTCTTGATCATGTAAGCATAAGAATTGGTTCACAGAGTGCCAAGGTACTTAAGGTACGCTTACAATTTCGTTATAAGACTAACAGTAAAAAAAAACAATGCACAGGTATATAACTGTCTCTTATACACATCTAGATGTGTATAAGAGACAGGTATATAGGCAAATGTAACTTTTCAAATGTTTGAAGCTAACAAGTTGATGTTATTGCTTATCTGAACGTAAAATACTTTATAATAATTTTTTTAGTGGATTTGTACGCTCGCAAAACGATGATTGAAGTTTCGCACTNCTTTTTATTTCCGCGGTCTCGTTAGAACTTCCCCATGCAGTGTCTAATTTTATTGAATTTCTACTTAGACCACGAAGGCACGACTTCAATTGGTTTCGTTAGCCTACAGACTTTTATGGCCCGGCTCTAAGGCTCGCCAGCTGCAAGCTGCGGTTTAAAAATTATCCTGAGGGTGCTTTTGTAATAAAAATGTCGTTTGAGTAGAAAAGCCATAGTTAACCAATAAGTTTGTTATCGATGTGACAACACTTGGGCAAAATTTCCTATTTTGAAATTAGCGTAAAATTTCTTATTTTCATTTTAATAATGCAATTATTATGATATAACCTCATCATAATTATAAAGCGAGACAATCAATATTAGAATCGGTCTGTTTAAACAAGTGTATTTCATTGCTAAAGCAAATGCTAGCAAAATGACAGACATTATAACTTGAATGATTACTTAGCAACTGCTTATTTAATTATAAGCTTATTGATTGATAAGTTTACAACGAGTGAATCATCTCATTTAAATTAAAACGCAGCTCATATATTAGAGTGCGAAACTTTAATAATCGTTTTGCGAGTGCAAAAATCCACTAAAAAAATCGTTTCAAAGTATTTTACGTTAAGATAAGCAACAACATCAACTTGTTAGTTTTCAAGATTTGAAAAGTTACATTTGCCTATATACCATACGATTTGTCATGCGCAGGGCCTAATCTAAATACAATGCAGTATTTGAACACACAATATAATACTATATAAATATTCAAACATCGTTCGAATTATTGGCAAAATATAGATAGAGAGATAAGCAATTATGAACTTTACTGAAAAAGTTATCAAACATTAAGTTCAGTACGGCACAATTGAATGATTTCAATGATAAATGATAAAATAATCACCTCTTCCTCGATAATATCGCATTATTCGATTTCTTGTGTTAGCAAGTTTCATCAATAATGAACTGCATGCACCGTATCATTGTTCTGTAATCATTAATTAGAGCACTTGTCTCATGCAGGATCTCTTTAACTCTCCTCGCTGAGCGCGAAGTAATTTTTGTACACAAAGAGCTTTTCGAACATTTTCAATGTTTTGCCGTGTTGGCACTATTTCGCTTGACTTTGCGAGTTCATCACAACAAATTCTCTGTGAATCTCGGTCTAATACTGCCAGTGAGTTATGAAATCATTCTTCGGCATTAATTATAAGCAATATGAAATTTATCTCGATAATAGAATCGTGCGCATGAGATGATCAAACGCTACGTTGACAATAACTTAACACATTTGTCATAAAAACTGAATTATTCCGTAAAAAATATTCACCTTCTCATTTTAAAATGCACATAAATTTATTAGCGGAAAAACACACTTTATAATTGTGCAATTATATAGCAACAAAATCAAAATATTACTGTAACTGTAGATACATTATGTATTTTCTCATAAGAAATGTATGCATCGTTGTGGAGAATAAAAATTGCTATGATGTTTCTCGTCGTTTGAACTGAACTCGTTCGTTTCATGTGCAGTGCG